TTCTTTCTTCATAGTCTGTTCTTAGTCTGGAAACTTTCCAAAACCTGTTCACTTTTGGGAGGTCCTGCTGGCAGTGACATAGTTTCTGGCACTATGGCGTCACAGCAATACACAAGCCACCACAGTTGGACAAACTGACAGATAAGGAGTGGACATAAGGTTAGCAATTTGAAAGCCTTCTGCTGTTCAGTGGGACAATGAAGAGGCTTCTACTCGCTTAAAGCGTTAACAGTCTCAGAAACCCACAGGGGTAAAAAAAAAAAAAAAGAAAAAACCCACAGGGGCTGTTCTACCTTGTCCTGCAGAATAGCTACGAGTTATAACGCATCTGCTTGGTGCAGTGAGTTCAGTTTTAGAGCTTTTTGAAGGCGAAGGAGCTCTGGGTGCTCAGTGGTTAAGTGCTTGGCTGCTAGCTGACAGGTTGGCAGTTTGACCCTAACAGCAGCTCCACAGGGGAAAGATGTGACAGTCTGCTTCCATCAAGATTGACAGCCTTGGGAGCCCCACAGGGCAGGTTGCTCTCTTCCTAAGTTCTCTTTGCGTGGACTCAGATTTGATTGGCAGTGTGTTAGTAGGTTTGAAGTGGTATCTCATTGTGAGTTTTATTTGCATTTGGTAGTGACTAATGATATTGAGCATCTTTTCATATATTTAATGGCCATTTGTATAATTTCTCTGGAGAAATATCTACTTTAGTCTGCTGCTCTTTAATAGATTGTCTATTGTTTAGTTATTACAGTTCTTTATAGATTCTGAATATTAAACCTTTATCAGAGACATAGTTCCCAAATATGTTCTCCCATTCTCTGGATTGTCTTTTCATTGTCTTTATAATGTCTTTGATGCATAATGGTTTTATTTATAATGAAGCCCAGTTGATCTATTCTTTTGTTATTCATAGTTTTGGTGTCATATCAAAGAATCTATTGCCAAATCCAAATCATTACGCCTATGTTTTTTTTTCTATGAGTTTTATGCTTTAGTTCTTACATAGAGGTTCTTGTTCCATTCTGAGTTTATTTTAAAACATGATATGAGGTATAGTTCCAACCTTATTCTGCATGTTGAAATATAGTTACAGCACTATTTGTTGAAGAGACTATTATTTCTCTGTTGAATGGATTGAGTGTCCTTGCTGAACATCAATTGGTCTTACATGTACAGATTTGTTTCTAGACTCTCAGTTCCATTCTTTTGGCCTATAGGGATCTCCATATATTAGTACCAAAGAGCCCAGGTGGTGCAATGATGGTGCACTTAGCTGCTAACCAAAAGGTCAATAATTGTGACCCACCAACCATTCCACATGAGAAAGATGTGGCAGTCTGCTTCCATAAAGATTATGTTCTTAGAAACCCGAGGGACAGTTCTACTCTGTTTTATAGGATCATATGAGTTACAATCAACTTGATGACCCACAACAACAGCATAATAGACCTATACTATTTTGATTACTCTAGCTGTACATTTTATATATATATTAACATTACATTTTTGAGACCAGGAAGTATGAGTCTCCCTGCATTGTTCTTCGTTTTCAAGATTTCATTGGCTGTTTTCGGGATGCTTGCAGTTTCAGGTGAATTTGAGGACTGGCTTTTTCATTTCTGCAAAAAGGGCTTTTGAAATCTTGATAAGAATTGTGTTGAATTTGGAGATTGTTTTGAGTAATACTATCTTCTTAATAAGTCTTCTTTAACTCCTTTTAGCATTGCTTTATAACTTTCAGTTCCTTGTTAAAATTCATATCTTAGTATTTTATTATTTTTGATCCTATTTTAATGCAATTATTTTAAAATGTCTTTTTCAGGGATTTCTTGCTGGTGCCTTTATCATAATCCCTTGAACTTTGTGGTGACCCTGAGTTTTTAGATGCACATGGATGCAGGGATCAGTCAGTCTCCTTTCACCTCACATATACTCTTGGTACTCACACATCTGTTTTCTTTTCAACTCTCAGTATATACTAGGTCTTGCCTCCGTAGCAGAGCCTAGACTTGTCACTACGTGAGAGCTAGACTTGTCTTATCAGCTCTCCATCTTCTTTTCCCTCTTGTTGGGCCCCATCATGACCATGCCCTTCACCATTGAAGAAGCCATGGTGAGGTGTGTCCAGCAGACTGTGTGGGCTGGGGTCAGCAAGTACTCTCAGGAGCACTTGGCAGTGTGGAGGATATCTCCTCATTGGCTTCCATGCCTCCCTGATTTATCCTATTGGATGGAGAAGGAAACAGGAAACTGAGACTTGTAAAGACTAGCTTGCCCAAGGCTAGTTGAGGCCAGGATGAGAAATGTTATGAGGCTGGCAGGGGCTGGTATGGAGTGGGAAGCACTATCAAACTGCTGGAGCTAGGAGAGGCCATTAGGCTCAGAATAGGACATGGAGTGTCAAGGTGAGAAGGATGAAGTGTCTAGCTATGGAGGAACATATCCAAGGACCACTTTGGTCCAGGGTGCATGGGGCTTTTACCGGGAAACTCTGGAGGGAATGTTGATGTGGTTCTTCTTCAGGACCTAAGAGCCAGAGTGCTTGTGGAGAGACTTGTGGATGCAACCCTTGTGGGCCACCTGTGTCAAGCTGTGGCTGGGAGATGGACTTGCATACTCTGCTGTCCCCACACGCCTCCCAGGTTGAAATCTAGAGTAAAGTCAAGGGGGATAATTGGCTCAGGACCTGGCAACTCAAGGGTAATAGCCAGGACTCAGAATTCTTGGTGTCAGAGTTCACAGAGTGTCTGTGTTGGGGTTGGGACGTAGGGGTTCATAGAACCAGGAAGTGAGAGCAGAGATGGGAGGGTGGCCAGGGGGTCACTGAGCTCTGCTGCTCATGTCGTCACCTGAACTGAACCACTGTTGACTGAGCCTAGCCTCCCTCCCTTCACCAGGCATCTGAAGAAGTTGCCGCTGAAGATGCTTGGCTAGGGGTGGTCACATCACCAGATGAGTACAGGGCTCCCAGTCCATGGTAAGCCCTTTGTGATTCACTCTCAGGCCTGTGGGCCAGTGGTGACTGGGAAGGAGTATATGGTTTTGTGTTTAACTATCATGGTTGCAAGTTTGAGGGATCTATTTGTGGCATAAATGTTGGGCTGCTAACCAAAAGACCAGCAGTTTGAAACCATTACCACTCTGTAGGAGAAAGGCTAGGCTTTCTATTCCCTCAAAAAAAAAAAAAGGTACATCCTAAAAAACCCACAGGGGCAGTTCTACCCTATCCTATAAGGTTGTTTTGACTTGGAATCAACTTCATGCCAGTGAGTCTGGGCTTTTTTTTTGGTTTTGGTTTAGCCTAGGAGGCTCTTCAAGGATGAAGGGCGTAGTTAGACTTAGGGCACACCTCCAGACAGTCTGGACAAGCCATAGGACTCATTGAACGTTGAGTTGTCATCAGGTGACCGCCTCACTCTACTGTCTCCTAGGAGAACTCCACCATGCAGGTTCTGGTGGCGTCTGTGGGAAAACTGGGCCCACAGGATGCTGCTGTTGGCAAGTACTTCCTGGGAACATTTGTGTAAATCTAAACCTTCATGGGGGAGTAGAGGGACTCCTTTCATGTCCAGGGCCTACCTTATGACTTCCCTTGGTAGGGGCATCACTTAGCTTGGTTTTAGGTTCAGGAGAACTGTAGTCTGGTACAGAGTGGCATCCTGAAAAGATCTAGAAACCATAGATAGATCCACCCCACCTTGGGATAGCTGAGGCCTGTGGAGGATTAAGAGGGGGTGTTGTGAGAGCTTCCTAGACCTGTGGGTGGGGCTGCCCATGGCCCAGTCTAAAGTGAGTAAGTGGGTCTATGTTGAGGTGTCCTGTCTGTTTAATGTGTTGAACTTGAGACTTAATTGCCATAGGTGCCTGTGATGGTTAAGGCTGCATGGCGATTTAACTAGGGCGTGATTCTCAGTGGTTTGGCAGTTATGATGCAGTCATACCCCTTGATGGTCTGATATCAGGTCATCAACTTCATGTTGAGATTTGCTATGATCAGCCAGTCAATTGAAAGGAAGCAGATATGTCCAATATATGTGGATGTTGTGGCACAGCTTGCTTGCTTTTTTACTGTGTCTGGATCCTTCATCTGGCTTATCATTTGAGCTCCAGTTCTTTGACCTTAAGCCAGCAGTAGGCCCTATTCCCTGCCAATCCTGAGTTTCATAAACAGTCTGCCATCTTACCAACCTGTCTTGGATTCATTCACCTCTGCAGTCAACAACCTGCCTTCTGACCAGATCTTCGGTTTGTCAGTTCCTGCAGCTTTGTGAGTCAGGAGGAACCTCTAGCCTGACATCTAATCCACAGTCTCTACTCCTGTGTGAGCCACTTCCTTGAGCTAAATCTGTATATATGTAAGCATGTTTCATTGATTTTGCTGCTCTGGAGAACCCAGCTTAAAGATAGTGTCCATGGGCTCATTCTTCCTAGGCATGTTGTACCTATGGCTAACTTCTAGCTTCTTTGTAGTGAAAGCACTTCGACAGATTTCTTTACTTTGAAACCATGGTAGTAGGGTCAGGAGTGGAAGTGACTACTACAACCTGTGCCCAGCATTTGGGAAACATTTTCCCAGTGTGACTACTTTCTTCTTGTAGCTCTGTGTAGGCCTTGGGGGTCAGTGCCACACTCGGCCCCTGACCTCACTCTGTACCCCAGAAAAATGCAGTCTCTTCTTGTTTCGAAGGCCTTGAGGACATTCCTGGCTATGGCTGAGTACAAACTCTTTCACACATGAGGTCAGGGCAGCCTTGGACCCATAACATTTCTGAGTGAGGAGGGCCTGAGGGTAGTTGGGAATAGTGCTCACAGTCAGGGGCCTGCAATGTAAGTCTGTCAACTATACAGCTTAAATATTGTCTTATCTTCCTCCTACCTGCTCTGGATGCATTCCTTGCTGGTAGAGTGGTCCATGGGAGGACACTGGCCTGAAAAAACCTCTCCCCAGTGTTTGTGGCGTCTGCACTGGCCACGAGCTGTTTAGATCATTTAAAATAAAATAAAACGAAACAGTGCTTGCTTTGGCAACACATATACTGAAAATGGAATGATACAGACAAGATTAGCATGGCCCCTGAGCAAGGATGACACGAAAATTCGTAAAGCAGTCCATATTATTTTAAAAAACAAAACATACAAACTAACAAATTGGTTGCTAACATTTAAAACAGAGTTTACATAAAACTTGCCTTTCCTGGCTTTCGGGTCCCTAGTATCATTTCCCATCCTGCCCTCCCATGCCTTACTCCAGACGGACAGTGGTGCAACCTGCCCACTCGGTAAACATTAGAGTTTTGGCCCCTGATCCTTAATAGAGAGATGGCTTTGGGGTGGGGCTCCACTTGGAGTTAGAGATGTGCTCAGTGGAAGTGGACTGGGAGCTCTGAGAGCAGTGTGGGTTTGCGACTTTGGGAGCAGCCACTCCCTATCGTGTTTTTCCCCTCCTCTGTGCTGCAACTTCCCCATCCTGCCAGGTGTAGGATTATAATTCTGGCAGCTTGAGTATTTCAGGAGAGGGTAGGTTGAGTCTCACCTCAAAGGACAGGTACTTTCTCTCTAGCTGATGCCCAACAGATGGGGTGGCCTGTGTGACCTGTGACAGCTCACTTCCCTTTCTTTGTAGAATGGTGAGTTAGTTAATTGTGCCAGCCTGGCCGATAATCACATGTGCTGCTGGTTGAAAGGCGGAGGGATAAATGGGTGGTGAAGCCTCGCCTTTC